CGCCGAAGAATATCGAAGTGGTGAGTTGTTTAGCCCTACAGGACGAGAGACACTCTTCAATGATTTACTCAACAAAAATTCACTATTACGGCCACTTTACTACTTACTTTCTGCTTTTTTGGATTGCAAAGCCATCAACAACTCATGCCTTTCAACTCGGATAGGACCGGTTTATCGCGGTGTTACCACTCCCTTCTTTCGCTTTCGCCGCTGTGTTCTCTGAGAGGCCACTGTGCACAACTATTCCAGAGAACGTCGAGAGAAAAATATCCTTGACATTGGTGTGAAAATCGTGCTCGTGCTTTCTACGCACCCTGATCTCTAGGGAAGGACGCGACCGAATGCTGAGTGGAACCACAGTAACTTTCAACCCAGCTGGGTACCAACTGCTGTCGCTGCCTGACTACCTCAAAGCAGGATGAGAGCTGCACCAGATCTCTGGATTCGTCTCTGGATTGGTAATAATGACCCTATACGAGCTCTAGAACTAAGACCTTACTTATCAGTACCGGCACAGCTCAGAGAACACTTTTTGTTCACTAGAGCAGTGGCAATGAACGAGATGAGCCGATTACACTCGAATAACAAGGCTAACTTAGGAGAAGATGGGGCCTGAGCAGATAGCACCGCTGTTTCCAGTGATCTGGTGTTGTTTATTTATTGCTAGACTCACCCATTTGGGAGGGGCACCCATAGACCCATGTTGCTACTGGTCCTCCTTAATCATTATATATGTTGGTACAATATCAGAACCCTCTAGGATTCCAAACGGAAGTTGAATGTATGCCAAATCTCAGGCTGAGATGAGATTTTTTTAAGACTTGAGAATGATCAAAGCACCTTCCTTGACAGACTAAACATGAAGTTGTTTCATTATAATCATCATTAATGATATTGTACTGAAGTTGCCCCAGCATTATGCATATAGTACAGCAGGCTGTCCAGAAGGCTGACGGGAACCACGGAATCCGGTCTGTTTGTTCTTGCTTTCGATATTCGCGCTTTCCATTATACAAAGCAATCTCAAATTCGCTAAATGCTGAAGGTGACTGCAGAAACTCGCTCATGGTTCCTAATTCTTGTGTGGGTGTTCGAGCACGTGCACAATGGTCATGTGCCGCGCCAACACGATCAGAGTTGACGCTTGCGCAAGTCGTAGCGCTAGCACTGCACAGGAGGTTTGACCCCAGCCATCAACTTGGGTCATTGGTTCACAATAATACCAATTGTCACGGGCTTTCGATTTCGTGAATTATTCAGTTTTTCGCTAATAATCCGAAAATCTGAGCTCCCGAATTGAGACGTTCTTTGGAACGCCGGCCCTCGAAGTCTGCAGGATATCCTCCCAAGTCGAAAACTGGATGATATCCTCCCAGTTGTCTGTGCCATGTGTAGTCATTCATGAAAAGCTTTTGGAGCAACCCATTGCACCTTGTTGAGATAAGCGTGCATTACATGAGCGACGTTGACGTTTCCTACGGGACGCTAGGTAGAACAAATGAAAAAATGGGAAAAATTATTTCGGCAAGTGCGGTACCGACGTTACGAATTCGTCGCAATCAGTCGGGGCGGTGTCCGAGAGAATAATTTTGCCTTCGGCCACCTTGCTCCACCAATAGTGATCGAGTAGTCGATTTAGGAAGAAAACACAAGTGGTGAAAATGCCGCGAATGAGCTCAATCCATCCCTTCCGAAACCACAAAAAACCAGGTTGCAATAATATTAGCAGTAAGTATCAGCCGGCGAGCCCGTGGTCTTACCTGTTTCCAAGATTTCATGGCCTATTGTGTGTGGCTGTTTTTGTAACACCGCGCCGAGTAAACAACTATGAATGGGCAGCAATTTGCACTAACCTTCAGCTGCCGCGTAAGGAGTGCGGCAAATTCGAGTGACCTGACAGTGAGTCTCAAAGTTTCGCATTTCAGCTTGCAGAAGAGGTCGGCATTCTACCGGAAGAACTTGATCCTTATGGTAGGAAAAAAGCCAAAGTTTCGTTAAACGTCTTGCAAGAGGTTACAACATGTAAAGGATGGAAAGTACGTGGTTGTGGCCGGTAAGTTTTTGATCTGCGGATACTGTACTTAAAACATCGTGCCTTTATTGAGTGCACATCATACGGAAGGTGGCCATAGACTGTCAAATAGAGACTTTAGGAACTCCTTCCGCTAAGGGAGGTCTTAGAGAACAAAAACACTTTAGAACGAAATTGAAATGGTTTTTGTGAAATAAAAAAGGGATAATCGTTCTGCCACCTAACAATCCTTTTTGAGATGCTGGGCGCATTCTACTTTCCTTCGGGATCGTAGTGTCTCGCGGAATAGGTGTGACGTATACAATGACCGATGTATAAACCAGTACTCCTATCCTCCCAGACAAATCTGATTCCAATTTACCGATCCCAGGCGCTGGAAGGCCTGGTTGTCCTAGGTGAGAGCAGATCCGGAAACTGATCCAGCTACCGCGCGCATGGTAACTGTGCCACTTCCTTCTATACAATCCGGCCTTCTTTGTGAGATTATCACTGAAATTCGTTTTTCCTCACTTCCCTTACTGATGACCTCAGTGGCGAGGGAGGATATTTCGGAGCAGTTCGACGATGGGGGGGGGGGCATTTTGTACTATCATTGCTTCCTTAGTTCCGGTTTACAAGTCTCACTCTGGCGAAACCTGTGAACTCTTGTGAAGCTGGCAAGGTCGTCAAGCCATCATGGTAAAACCTGTCAACTCGAGAAGAGGCTGTCTAGATAGGTCGGTCGACACGTCGATGGGAAGTAGCAAAAGTGCAAAATGCCCCCGTCACCGAACTGCGCCCGATATTTCTATCATTTAGTTCCGCTTGACAAAACAAGCAGTGCGCTTCTGCACTATAGCATCGGCCGCCTGCCACAACGCGTTATCGTTCTGAACTTGTGCGAACAGAGCAGAGAATAAATGGTCCGTAACTCCCTTCAGAGAATCGTTCCGCAAATTCCGAGGGCAGATTTGGATTCAGCGGCTCAAACACACTCATTTCTATACATTTCATTGAAAATGGCCGACTCATCTATTGGGATTACCTTATGAGGGCTCGTGCAAAGCAGAAGCTGAGCTATCTCTCTGATTCCCTCCTTCCCCGCTTTGAAAAGTCTCATTGGATGCTTTCACCACTTTCTAATCTAATTCTCATCGCTTTTGAAAAAACCTTGAAATGCAACAAATCGGAAAAGTCCCGTGAATTCCTGTAAAACTATGCAAGCCCGAGCTTTTGTTACACTTGTCCCGAGTCTACAGATTCCACCAAGGCGAAACATGTAACTGAAGGGAAACTAGCAAACAAAACTAGCGAAAGTACAAAATGCCCCCCCCCTCTTAGACCGAGCAGCATCAAAAATGCTCTCGTAGACGAAATATCAGATGAAAGTACTGCTTATGCTGTGTGTGCTAGGAATCATAGCATTCATAAAGAATTTTTCGGCAGATCTCACGTTTTTCTTGTTAAGGTATCACGCCAACTCCATTGGGAGAAGGAAAATCGACCACGACCATGGGCCTCGTTCAGGCTCTGGCCGCCCATCTTCACAAAAATGCGTTCGCATGTGTTCGACAGCCATCACAAGGCCCAACATTTGGAATCAAGGGTGGAGCCGCTGGAGGAGGATATGCTCAGGTACTTCATCCAAAGGGTTGATCGGAAGTACACCTTTTTGAGTAGCCACTTACAGGTTATACCTATGGAAGAATTCAATTTGCACTTAACCGGTGACATTCATGCTATCACTGCAGCTAATAACCTTCTAGCAGCTGCCATTGATGCCCGAATGTTTCACGAAAGCACTCAGAAGGATGACGCTCTTTTCAATCGACTATGTCCTGCAAACAAGCAAGGTTTGTTCCTAACCTCTTCAGCCATGCGGCTGGAATAATCTCGTGCTGGCAAATCGGAATCATGAAGGTTATGAGGATTTCTTTTAT